TGCCTAAAAGAAACCAGGCTGGATCCTCAGCTATGGGTTTGACGCCTTTACTTCTAACTTTTTGTAGTAAAAAGACATGGGTAACAGGAAATCGAATGCTTTCTGCCGGAGTCTGTCATCATCCCCCAACTGAACCAATGACACTGCGACTGGCTCATTTTTGCTGTGTGTATTGTGTTAATCGAGACGGGTAATTGAGTAGTCCTACCTTAGCAGGTTGTGTAAATGCAATCTTTTCTGAACTTTCTGAAGGAGAGGGCTGTCCTTCAGTTGTTCCCCACAGACACTAAACCTGTTACTGAGCACCAGTATCTTTGGAGATGAAAATATCAGATTGTATTGTTTTGCCTAAATGGCAAAGCGCAGCTGCAACCCACTCCCGGCTCTCCGCTCCCGCCGCAACGCCCCGCCCTCTCCGTCTCCGGGAGCCTCGGCCTGCGGGCGAGAGAGCGCTCCTTCCTAGAGAGGCAACGCGCCGACCGGCCCCCTCCAGTCGCCTCCCGCCCTCCTTGAAAGGGTCCCCGGCTGCCACCCTCTCCGCCTCTTTCGTCCAGGAGGCAATTGCTGGCAAAACTCATTTGCGTGTGCTCCATTCCACTCTAAAGGAAGGAAGCTGCCAGGACTGCGATGTGTGCAAAGAGCAGCCTTGGGAGGGGAACCAGGGAGGGGGGGTGGCAGCTGTGGTCGGGCTGTCGCACCTCCTGGCGAAGGGTCCCAAGTGTGCTGCTGCTCCCGGGCGTCCACGGATAGCTAGTTGCAGGTGCTCCTAGTTATTCCCCCCCCCCCGCCTCTCGTTGTTTCCATCTTTTTCTTTTCGAGAAAATGGAAAAGTGTGTGATCACGTGGGAGAAGACTGAGGATTTTCCTGACTGTCAAAGGCAGTGAAAGAGCATATTACCTGAAGTCCTTGGGCCTCCTCGATGGAGGTTTCGAAATCAAGGTTGGACAGTCATTTGTCTCGGATGACTGAAGATCCCTGTCCTGGGCGGGGGTTGGACTAGAAGTCTAATTGCTATTATTCGGTCACTGAAGTAGCCAAGTACTCTTCTTGCTGTACCCTTCCTAACTAGAAAAGCGACACCGTTCCTTGTTTTTCATGTCCAGAGTAATAAACAGTGTGATCTTCAAATTGTCCAATCCCAGTCCATTTCAATTCACTGATGCCTAACATTTCAATTTGTGGACGTTTCAATTCACGTTTCACTATCTTGAACTTTCCCAGGTTTGTGCTCCTTCCGTTCCCTGTTCCTACTGGCAACATGAGCAACTAGACATCTGGAAGACTTTAATCTAGCCATGTCATATAAATGAAGGGAAAAATGCCCTGGGTAGCAGAAAAGTGGGCATTTTGAGAAGGGGAAATGTCTCCCTCTTTATATTAAGGGGGAGCTGACTGATACAGTTAGTGACAACTTGACCATCTTCCTCTGTAGCTAATTTCGCTATTACTACAGTGACATTTTTCCAAACATTCAACTG